CATCATAACTTCAAAATGCCCACCTCTTTCTCCTGGGCACATCAACCTCTCTGTTATACACTTTCTCTACAGTATTTAATAAATCATATGACTGTCTACATTTTACTCTAACATAGGCTATGTTTGGTGATTTTGTGCAGCTGCAGCATAATATATGTGGACTAGGAACAATTAAACTAAACAAGGCTAGGATTAAAAATTTGAGATGTCCCCTGTATTGAATCCATTTATGCCTTATAATGAGAGCACTGGGATTTAACTACAACAGAGGTTAAGGAATATCTGCAGTTCTGTCAAGCCACTGGCTACATCTGAGTCTGGAAATGAAGATTGAAACCTAGGAACTGTTAATTGATATTTAATACCACATGACTCCATAAGATCAGCTAGGGAGAAAAGCAGCAATTTGGTAAACTCTGGGCACAAGTGATGATGAGAGGGTGTGTGGGTGAGGACCAATCAGAAGAGAAAGCCAAGTAGTTCCAGATGCTGAAGAAAGAAAGAAACAGGAGTATTATAGGCAGGGCATGTAGAGAAAGTGCTACAAGAATATGATCAACTCATTTTCCACACATCACCTAGCTAACCACATCATACTCCTCCTACAGGTCAGGACATTTCTTTGTTAAGCCCTCTCTGACCAAGTAGGTTCAGATCCATCACTTTCCTCTACATCTCTAAATCAAAGGGACCTCAGTAATCATCGGAATCACAACCATCAGAACAACTTCAGTTCTTTATTCTTCTTCTCATGCTCATGCCTTGAGGGCCAGAAATTTGAACCATAATCACTGGAGTTTGGTAATATGTGGAAGAAATGGGAAACAGGAACTTATATTTATAGAGAACCTGCTGTACAATAAAAGTTTTTTCAATAACTTTATGATGATTATCTTACTAAGGTCCTCACAGTGTGGAAAACAAACAAAAAGAGAAAATGAGTATTGCTAAGTGTAGCACTCTCAGCCCCAGCACCACATCTGCCAGCACATCTCCATTCTCCCTGTTCAAGATGATAATGTACTGAACCTCTGAAACTGTAGTCAAGATGATAATGGACTGAACCTCTGAAACTGTAGTCAAGATGATAATGTACTGAACCTCTGAAACTGTAATCGGGCCACTCCAATCAAATGTTTTTCTTTATAAATAAAAAAAAGTAAACTCCAAATGCCTAAAATTTTTGAAATATGTGTTATTTTGAGAAAATGTGATTCCTTTTTCCCAAAGGATGCACTTCTTTATAAAATAAAGGAAAAAGAACTGTGCTTGGACAGGCAAGAAAAGAGAGAGAGAGAGAGAGAGAGAGAGAGAGAGAGAGAGAGAGAGAGAGAGGGAGGGAGAGAGAGAGGAAGAAAATACATGCCAAGATTCAATGTCAACAGTTATCAAGATTATCCTGGCAATTCTTCCTTTCTTTCCAAAATTGTCAAATAAATTATTTAATATGTTCCTTTATCTATACAGGTTTAGCATAGAGTTTAAAGGAGGTAGGTAACTAGTATATACAAATATATCTGTTCTAACTGACTGCTGTATCTCTCATTGTGCATGAATAAATTATTGTTCTATTTCAAACAGTAGTTTAATGCAAATTTCTTAATATATTTTATTTTCAGAGATGAAAATTTTAGTGATGACTAGGCCCAGTATTTTTAGTTCTTCTTTAATCATGAAAGTGTCAAACTCATGTTCCGGGATCAAAATGGAGCTGACTGTGGTAATCACTGGAGACTGCAATACAAGATACACATGAGGCATTCTGTGTGAGTGATTGTTAAAGGAAAATATCGATTTCCATTTATTTTGTCTCTTGTTGACACACAATAGTGGTCACAGTCATGATCCTTTTAAAATGGATTGGAGAAGGGCTGTTAGGAAATGAACTGAGCCAAAAAAAATGATATTTTTTGTTGCCTAAATTTGATCCATTTTTCAGAGTTTAATGTCTTGGCTGGTTGAAATGTAGGATCCAAGAGCCTGACTAACGCATTCCAGAATTAAATCTATCATTTGTCAATGTGGCCAATCTTGCTGAACTCAATCACTTTGAAATGCTTTGACAAAACAGGCCTCATAGTCCCTTGAAGACCAGAATCTTAACTGTGTCGAAACAGCAAAAGTAATTCTATTTTCGTGTTGCCAGTGGGATATAGATGTGGTCTTCTTCAAGGATACCTGGACCATTTTTTCTAAATTATAACACCTCCTCCCCCCCAAAAAAAAAACTATGCAGCAGGAAATTATTTGCCTCATTGGCATAAGGTATGCAAACCCTCTGCCACAGTTTTCAGTTTCTAAAATGTGTTGAACATTAATAGCTGTTCCACTCTGACTGATGTCACAGAGGTGAAAATTCACAAGTATATAAATTCTTGTTGCTAATTCGTCTATTAGAATACATAACTGAGATAATAAGCTTTATGTGTGTTTTTATGTGCTAAGTCTGGCTGAAACACAAATTTTCCTCACACCTGCCATGGTGATAGACTTTCTTTACTAAAACTACTGAACTATGTGCCACTGTTAGGGTCCACATCTGTAACTCTACGGTATTGGGAATCATCTATGGAGAATGCAAAGCATTCCATTGCCATCACTTTCTAGAAAGGCAGTAGTAAGTAGTAAAATTGCCTGTAGACTCATTCTACATGTATACTCTGAAACCCTGTAAAGAGAACCCTAGTTGAGGTCTGATACTTTTAACAGGTAAAGTAGACCACTGACTGGGTCCCACTCGGTGATGCACTCCCATACTGTCACATTCCAGCAGAACTCTGGTAATTTTAAGAATTCTAAGTTCAGATTTTGTGTCCCCCTTGCCATTACAGCTAAGTTTTTGTAAATCAGTATGTTTCATGTTTCCCAACTTAGTGTATTGTTTGTAAATATTGAGACACATAAGCTGTGCCGTATGTGTGTGTGTGTTCAGACTCCAGTCCCAGCCTATAAATGTTAAGCTTACTGAACTTAGCCACAGGCCTACTGAAGTCCTCATCTCCAGTTGCTGGCCAGCCATGGTGTATACATGGTGCAGTAATCCTAGATTTTTCATACCATTTTCAAACATCATATTTAACTTCTTTGTCATTGAAGTTATATAAAGTTATATTTAATGCCATATCTAATTGGTATATTCTTTACAACTTATCTTAATTTCTTAATAGGAATCTTATAACTGACCACCTCGAATCTACTAATTTTTTTCTGACTTTATATATTCAGTTTTACCATAGAACACTGCAAAAAACTTCATTCTAATCTCTTCCTTATTATCATGTAACTATTTGCTTGTGCTTTCTCTATGAAAAACTATATTCTTGAGGGCAGAATTTATCTTGTCCTTTAATACATTATATATCAACAAAACTGTCCTCGATTGAACAGTTAAACTGGTTTAAAATATGTATTCTTTCAAACTGCATTCACCTCATAAAGTAATTTGCCCTAAATGTATCATCTATCAATTCTTAAAATTGCATACTAAGCAATATTATATATATAATAGGAAAATTTGTGAAGGAACATTCAGTTATTGTCATGGCCAATTTAGGTTTTAAGTACTTATGCTTTTAAAAATTCAATTGTCTATTAAAAAATTAGACTGAGGTATTACGATATGCTATGAAAACAAAGGATTAAATGTTGACATAATGCATACTTCACTCTAACAAAAATACTATGTTAACTATATAAAATTATATACTATATGGATGGAGAAATGGCTCTGTGGTTAAGTGCACTTACAGCTCTTCCATACAACCAAGGTTCAATCCCAAGCACCTACACCCCAAATAAGAAGCATCTATAACTCCAGTTCTAAAGGATCTTAAGGCTTCTTCTGGCCTCTGTGGGAACTATACACGTGGTACACAGACATACATACAAGCAAAAAACATATTACATAAAATAAAACAAAACTCCAAAGTATTAAGAGAAAATATTTTTTACTATATAATGTAATTTATATGAGATTAATAACTTTTATATTGGGTAACTTACAGGTTTTATTATATTTAATACATAAAACATTTGAAGAAAATTATAGGTTATGAACTAACTTTAAATATTCATTTAGTTTATGACTATAACTATATATTTTTTTCACTGGATATTTTATCAGAAAACTTCCCTATTTTTGTATTTTTTAGTCACATAAAAGGTACGGCTCCTCTCCCTGTAATTATTGACTATGATCCACAAGTAGAATCAACTGAGATATTGGTCCTTGCCAACTTGTTTGAGAGAAGCGAGGCACCAGGATTCCTAGTCATTACCAAAGTATCTTGCTTAAAAAAAAAAAAAAAAGCAGAGATCTCCAACCTCTCCAACCAATTTGTTGACCTAGGACTTTTGGATACAGACTATGTTATAGTCTAACCATTGATAGTTCTCCTATGTTAGACAATACCCTAAAGCTCACTCAGCCTTCTCATCCATTGAAAACCCAAGCTCTCTTTCTCAATCATCTATATGTATAAAAGCTGTCATTCCAGAAAGAAGCAGATGCAGCCAACATAACTCATTTTCAACTGTGAAAACTGTCAACCACCTGAACTCTTCCTTAGACATTCCATTCCACACTGTATTACAATATGCCAAACCCTCTGTTCCACAAGGTTCTATGTATCACACAGATCTGTTATTTTTCCAGGAATTGGTTTGACAGTGTTTAATCTATATATAGTTCTTTAGTCGTCAATGTATCTAATCCCAGCTTCCATTAACACAGTCCCATTTACCCTGCTCATGAGGTTACGGTATAGCATTTATTTGTCTAATTGAAAACAAAGATAGTACAAAGAGATTTATTGAACAAACTTCAATTTTATGTTTTATGTTCACAATGGAAAAAGAAAGAAGCAGTGATTTGAATCATTCAAACAGATACGGCATGAATGCCGGAGTTCTTGGCTAGAACTACTAGGAAAAAAGAATTGGGGATATTTAGAATTAGCAGCCTGATTGCATACTAGAACATGCTTTATGGCATATCTTACCTTAACTTCCACATGTGCCATCAATACTGCAAAATTCGTGAGGTGGTTACAGGAGCATGTAGTATGTGTCTTGTTTGTTGTCAGGAGTCGACAGCCTTGTGTTGACCAATAACCTGTCATTGTGCGTTTGGAATAGCTCCAAAATGAACAGTTAGGGTTGAAATTTTCCTCTGACTGCTATGGTGGAAAAAGATCAATAAAGGCAATAACTATTTTACGACCGAGCAAATGAAGTAGGCATTTTCTTTACCCACAGCACAGCCTCATGATATGTTGTAATCCTTACAGAGGTGTGTTCAGTATATTCATATTAAGTGGCCCTCATCAATCTGAAGTGAAATTGAATGCCTGGCATTTGTTCTGTCTGATTAGAAGTGAGATTACTATTTTTCAAAACTGTTGATACCAGAACAATGTTACTAGCAATATTTTACAATTGGATTGGTTTTTAAATTTCAAAGCAAAGAAGCCAACCATTGGAAAAGCCTTCTAAAAGGGTGGTCTTTACAAATCTTTATAACATTTACAACTTCCAGATTTGTACATATACAAAAATATATCTTCAGACACAGACATGACTGCTTATAATAGCATGTGAAATATTGCTGTCCAGATTAATTTAGTGCATTGCAAGCTCTTTTAAGAACTGTGTGGTACATATATAGAATATCTAATATTGTATTATACATATTACATCTAGATGTAATAATGTTACTATGTAAAAAAATTAACATATCATTTCATATGAAGACCAGTTTTACTTAGTTTTCTGACATTTTTATGAATATTTCTGAAGACAATCATGACTACATTCTTTAACAATATACTATATAAATATTGATAATAAAAATATTGAAATAAAATTAATACATTTGATATGCATTCTATAACAAATATAAATACTGTAGAAAATGAAACATGACATGTCATTTCCTTACCTTGATATGTTTAACAGTAAATACCACGGGATCAGCCAAATAAACTTTATTACTGAACTCCTTATTTATTGCTGCTGTAATAACAGGAGAATTGACGATAACAGAATGATTTGTGGACATGGCTTCTGTGCCCAGCTTCATACTGGCATTCTCCGTAGACAAATAAGGACCCAGGTTGTTGTACAGGACAAAGGCTACTCTAATCTCTCCTAAAATAAATGCAAATGTGAATTAGAAAATTGAAGAAAATGATTTGTTTCGATGCTTTACTAGAGTCTGTCATTCTGATTAGCCAAAACTATATAATGCACATTCACAGACATAAAATCAAGCATGTATTCGCTTCATTGGTATGGGAGTACCAAGTTACTGATAAGAAAGTGGAATTCTGCTGAGAACATTAGATATCACTTCTTTAAACACTGAATCTCAAACACTGTCTCACTGTACACTAGAAGCTAAATTCAAGATGTCTCATAGACCCAGCACCAGAATCCAGAATTATAAATGTTATAGAACAAAATACAAGATAATCTCTTTATACTTTGAAGAAGATAAAATAATGCACATAGCCTCAAAACACAATACACAGAAGGGAAAACTGAACTTCATCAAAATTAAAATTGTGAACCTATTAAAATGTATCATTAAGAAGACAAATGCCAACTAGAGATTAGAGAACAATAAGATGCATATACAGAACATGCGTGCCGGTCAACAGGATGATGACAGAAGATATCTTAAACTCCCCAAAGATATTAATGGACATTTTACGGAAGAATGTAACAAAATCATTTAATATATGAAAAGATGGCTGGAAACATTAGCAATTACGGAAACAGAAAGTTAAAGCTACATTTGTAATACCATTTTACACCCTGTGTGGATCCTAATGTTTATACAGCCTTAGACTCATTCCCCTGCTGATGGGAATATAAAATATTTCAGTGACTTGGAAAGATTTTTGACATTTTTTATAAAACTGCATACATATTGACCCTTCCTGGATAAGTGAGAACATTTACCACAAAGAAAACAATTTGCATGAGGCTTTTTACAGAATTCTTATTGATCCTAGCCTGTATCTTGATAGAAGAATAAATATAGTATATTAATAGAATACACTATGTGTCAATACAGCATAAAATATTAGTGAATGGCAAACCATGACTGAATTGTCAAAGTGATTTTTTGGATTACTAATCTAAACAGAATATAGCTCATATTGAGTGATTCTGGATATATGAAGGCTAAGAACAGAGTGATAGTAAGAACATTTCATTAGGAGAGAAGAAGGGAAGCAAGGGACAGTAAGAAACACCATGGAAATGTATAAATAGGAAACACTTAGTTTCCAGTTGGTTTTCCTTCTGTTTTGTGTTTTAGTTATAGAGGTAAATATAACTGTCAGATTTCTTAAACTAAACACTCATAATTTATTGTGTTTTAATTATATTGCAATGGGATTCTTTTTGTTTTGTTTTTCCAGACAGGGTTTCTTTGTGTAGCTTTGGCTGTCCTGGATCTCACTCTGTAGACCAGACTGGCCTGGAATTCACAGAGAATCACCTGCCTTTGTCTCCTCAGTACTGGGATTAAAGGTGTGTGCCAACATTACCCAGCTTGCGATAGGACATTTTCTGTTTGTTTGTTTTTTCAAGACAGGGTTTCCCTGTGTAGTTTTGGTGCCTGTCCTGGATCTCACTCTGCAGACCAGGCTGGCCTTGAACTCGCAGAGATCCACCTGCCTCTGCCTCCCAAGTGCTGGGATTAAAGGCGTGTGCCACCAACGCCCAACTGGATTTTTTTTAAATAGGGACACTATTTTTTCTTTTTGCCCAGGAATTTAATAATCATTTTCTTTTCAGTTCACTATTTCTACAAAGTCATAAAGCCCTTTCCCGCTATGTGATTAAGTTCCTAATTGTAGTAGTTTTTAAAGCTAACTGCTTTTTTTTGTTCTTTTGTCGTGTTTTAATTTTTATCATTTTTTTTCATGGCAAACATCAAACCCTATCTCCTATTTCTACTATAAGATCCTAGTTTGCCAAGAAACCAATGCTACCCAGACTACTACAGTGACGAAGATCAGAAACCAAAGTGTTTTTGAATCTCAATGTCAAATAGAGAAAGAGAGAAAACAGGGCCAAGTGAGAAGTAAGTGTGTGTGTGTGTGTGTGTGTGTGTGTGTGTGTGTGTGTGTGTGTGTGGTGAGGGGTTAAAGAAGTATGATCATGACTGTCTTGTACCTCAACTGTACTTATATGTTTATGAAATTTCCTACTCTTAGGAATTTAAACACACAAAATGTACACAGGCTTGTTTTTGCAACTAGCCATGCAAATCAGTTCCTTGAGCACTCCAGTCAGACACATCCAATCAGATGCAATGACCTCAGACTCAGACAGGGGCCAGTGACCCCATGATGCAGAAAGTAGAGATACCAGCAGCTGCAGCAGCAGGCTTACAGCACTCAGAGACATTCCAGGCATTTTATGCTATGTGGCAGGCTGGTATTTCATGACATTCACTGTCCTTTCAATAATTTAACAAAGAAATGTAATGACAACTTCATGAAGGAAGATAGGATTCTTATCTCACCTATATCTAAGACACTATATCCAAATAATAGCTGCTCACTAAATACTTATCTGTTATAGTAGAGAAACAATTTTACTTCTGGATTTATGATAAAATGCACCATGCTTGAAGGCTACACTTAGTGTTACTCAAGTGTTTTTTTCTTCTTAATATTAGTGACTTTTATTATAATTGGCTGATAGTCAGCTAATAAGTCATAACATTTCCACATAATGCTCAGTGGCATGTTGTCATTCCATCTTGTTTCATCAGTCCATGTAGTTTCACATAATTGTTTCAAATTACTCACTCCAAAGTGACTTAATGGGACTTAAGATGAAAATATTGCACATCAATGTAATCAATAAAATCAAGCCACCAGATATGGTTAATGTAGGCATATTTATGACCTTTTTAGCCTGCTGTCAGAAAGTCTACAAAGTTATTCAATATCGTGTATCATGCCTTGTTTACAGCACTATGGTTACCAGGGTGAATGACATTAGACATGGCCCCTGCTCTTTAGGAACTTATTGCCTGGAAAGAGTCAGATAATAAGCAGGCAGTTAAAAACAAACAAATAAACAAACAAACAAAGGGAAAAAACTGCTAAGCAGCAGTATTGTCATAAGTATGACTGAAGGAAGAGGGTTCAATAACAGTGGTCCACCTTAGAGAAGAGTCTCCGTAAAGAACTAAGATGGACTTCTTAAGAATCAAATGATGGTGACTTGCTCAACCATCATCAGAGAAGCTTCTTCCCACAGCAGATGTGAACAAATACTGAGACCCAAAGCTGGATAATATGCAAGGAGTGAGAGACCTTGGAACATTGGGCAGCCCTAAATGAAATGTCTCCATCAAATCTAATCCTTGGGGCTAAGGGAACCCCACAGAAGAAGAAGTGGAAAGAGTTTAAGAGCCAGAGAGGATGGAGAAACCAATAAAACAAGACCCTCTAAATCAACATGAGCAAAGTTCATATGAACTCACCGAGATTGAGACAGCATGCAGAGGCCATGGCCTGGTCTACACTAGACGGGGTTCCAGAGACGAAAGGAGGAGTGGACAAATGACTCCATCCCTATGCCAGAAACTATCTCCAATTGATAACCATTTCCAAAGGAAATTTTAGTTTTTCCTGAGGGAGACTCACTGGAGAAACAAACTACTCTAAATTACAGTCTGCACACCCAGCAGTAGATAGCCAACAGAAAATGAACTCAACAGCATCACTGAAGGTTTCTTGTCTCAAAATTTCATGTCAGAAGTTTTTTGATCATTAATTTTATCTTAATTTTTACTTTTATTTATATGTTTTTCTCCTTTACCTTACAAGTCCTTTGTGTATGTGTGTGTGTGTGTGTGTATATATATATATATATATATATATATATATATATATATATATATAGAGAGAGAGAGAGAGAGAGAGAGAGAGAGAGAGAGAGAGAGAGAGGCTTCCAGTTCAGAGTTTTTATGGGATTCCTGAGTATGTGAACGAGTAGGTCTCTTGTGCCTTTTTAAGGCTCCTGTCCTTCTGTTTCCTTTGCCCTCGTTTTATGCGTTAGTTTTTGTTTTGTTTTATTATTATCCCTTAAAAGGCTGTTTTTTTTAAATGAGTAACAGAAAGGAGGACGGATCTGGATTTGGGGGTTTGGGGAGGGGTAGAAGGAGGGGAACCCTTCATCAGAGTTATGCAAGAGAAAAAGCTATTTTCAATAAAGGTGGGGGGGAGTCAAATGATAGAGAGGCTGCCGTGAACAGAAAACCCTGTTGCAGAACCATACGTGCTTTTTATGTTGAAAAGAATCAAAACTACTTAGCATGGATCACAGGTCATTCTTGAGAAAAAAATGAGAAGGGGGCAAGTAAGACAAGATGCACAAGCTAGACAGCTGTAGACCTCCCTCAGTAATATGGTTTCATTCCAAGTGTCACTGGAAGTGAACTGGTGAGATTTCCATCTGGGGAGGAACCTTTCTTGGTGGGAAATACTGTTGAGGGGAGCAGAAGTTGCTGAACCAATAGGAAGTGGATACAAGTGTCTGTTTCCGCTCTTCACTTACTGCTGCCTCGAACATTTCCTTCCTCCAGTTGACAGTACACTAATGATTTCTAAGTTTATTCATTAATGATTTATAATGCCTTAACAACATTATATTCTGATGACAGAAAATTGAAACCATTGATAATATTAAGGAGATCCTTTTTCAGAGCTATTTTCTCTATATGAAGCAGCAGTTTTGAACAGGTTACAACAACCTCAGGTCATCTCCATATCATTTAACAGGTTCAAGGGGTTTCCTGCCTTTGTGAAAAATCATTTTTTTAAAGATTTGTGGAGCTAGCAATATGTTTTTTCCATGAGGTTACATTATATAATATATATATACTAATATATATATATACATATATATATTAGTGAATTTGATTTAAAAGTTAATTAAGGTGACCTATATATATATATCCTAGTCACATCCCCTCAAAATCCTCCTTATAGTTGACTTTTCTGTATGTTTTATGAAGGAAAAGTACAGATACACTTATAAAAACCTAAAGAAAACACAAAATTTTGTACCTTTAAAAATTACAAGGAGTCAGGTGGCTTTGGCACACGCCTTTAATCCCAGCACTCAGGAGGGAGAGGCAGGTGGATCTCTGTGAATTCAAGGCCAGCCTGGTGTATAAAGCGAGATCCAGGAGAGGCACCAAAACTACACAGAGAAACCCTGTCTTGAAATCCCCGCCCCCCCCCCAAGTTGCAAGGACCATCCCCACCAAAATTTCCATTAGTTCAATCTGCAAACTCAATGACAGTTACTCCTGGGGATGGGGGTGGGGACTGGAGGGGACTTGGTAGACTATTTGAGTTTTGGGGTTCAGAATTTTCCTCATGTTCAAGGTTCTGACAACCGAAAAGTGATAGAATCTGACAGAGAATTTTATACAACGTGCATCGTTGTTATATCGATGGTCCAGTAGATAAAGAGGAAGAAGTAAAGGGGCGATAAAGATGGTGGTGCACAGAAAGAAGGTGTAAAGAACTCTTGTATGACGGATTTAAAATCCCAAGCCACAATGCAAAAGAATGAATAAAAGTTCGATAGCATGGTGCACAAAAACAAACTCCAACTTACCATTCCGGCCATTTTGCTTTAAAGTGTTTGCTGAAAGCTGGATAGTACTTCCATGGCCCACGTTTTCTGGAAATTTTAGATCTTCTAGGTTTCCTTCTGTGCTCAGCCTTGCAACTTCTAATTCTGTTCATAACACAGAGGTGTCAGTGTTCTACGAGGAATCTGGCAAAGCTACAAGAATTTCCTTAACCACTAAACTGTTTCTATATTCAGAAATTCAGAGTTCTTGGTCTATTTTTCATGTTAAAGTCATTCAATTTATAGGAAAGTATATGGTTAGTCCTTTTATTTTATTTACAAAATAAAATAAGCAAAGATGTTCAAAATCATGTAAAGAATACAAATGTACAATAATCAAGCCTAATACTTAAAAGTTTAATCCATCTTTATATTTTTGTCTTTGCTTTTAAGTTAATTTTAATAATATTATCTATATTCCATGAATTATGTAAAACTCCTTTTGTACTCCAGAGATGTACTGTCACATCAGTATTGATCTATCTACAAACCCAATAAAATTTGAAACAGCTTTATCAAATCTCCTGAAATAAAATTGTCAGCTACATCCTAAAACACAATAAAAACAGATTTACACTTATAGGAAGGGATGATACAATTTCCAAACATTAGCATCATCACTCAAATGTCTTGTTTCTTATAGGACATAACTCAAGACAGGTAATCTTCACATTAGGAGGTCAAAATAGTAAACAGTATAAAAACCTACATAAATAAACGCCTATATAAAATTCTACTAATAAACCTCACTGATGTGACCTCAAGGTAACACATCTAATATTGGAATGCCTTGTGGAGGTTAACAAGCATGGATTCTGATCTTGTTAAACTGAAAGCTATTTGAGAAATAGAATAACATATATACACCAAACCAAAGCACTGCTTATGACAGGGGCACCAGATATCTTTTTTTTTTCCCTCTTTCCTGCTATGCAAGTGACTCTCGACCTTCTGTCTTAACAAAGGTCACTTACGAATATTGTCTGTATTTTCCCTGACAATGTCAGTCTTCAAAAGGTTATCGGCTAACACGAAAGCGCTCTCCTCCACAGTGTCAAGCAACATGGTGGCTGCACGTAGCTGGTCGCTTGTAGTCAGGTCTCTCCACGCATTCAAAGCTTGCGGCTGAAGGAGGTTGTTAACCGTCTCGACCATGGCCTATGAGGGGATGAACAGAATGGCAGAAGTCTCTAGTGAACCCGTATAGCTGTCAGAAATCCAGGTGTACATGTTGCCCAGCAAGCAAGGAGCAGCAGTGTGCATAAGATCACTATTGTCCCAGCCTCCCCTGTGACATGCTACAGCAGAAGCATTCATTATTTTTCTGTAAATCCCTCACTGAGACTTTGCAAGCCTGTGGTTGTCTTCTTTTGAAGGGCAGCAAATAGAGCCATGCTTCCTTCTCAGAATAAACAAGAGATGCTTCAGTAAGACTATTATCACATAATTAAAGTGATTTGGCTAGGAACTAGGGGCACACAATTTGAACCAACAAGTTTGCATCCTCTACAGAAAATGGTTTTGTTCTGCTCATCTCCATAAAACCTGATACTGACCACAGAAGACACCGAAAAGATCATTACAGACAGGAGGTGACAGGGATTTGTGGCCTATACTTTGTGAACTCAGGGAATAAACACTTCTTTTCCCTTTTTCTTCTTTTCACCTCTTCCTCTAGCGCCAGACAGCTACAAAAATGTCAGACTGGGGAAAGTATCAAAGCTTTCATACTGTCAGGTCCTCTGAGTATGTTGTGTGGTGTGAAACCTTAACACTGTTTACCATTCATGAAGGGAGTAAACAGCTGGACATCACTACCTATGGCCCTGAGGTGTTTCTGTTTCCTTTACGGACTCAGCAGTATGTACATCCACACATACAGACAAGGCACCGCGTTTCTCATTGCTGCATCCAGAAGAATCATCTCTGTAGCTACCATTTATATATTCCCTGTGGTTTCTTTTATGTGGTAGGTTACAAAGAGAAAACAGTTCTCCCAGTAAAGTCTTGGATTTCATTCAAACAAAGAAAACAGCAAAATAGAAAAATACGGCACCTGCAGTTTGAAAGTGATCATCCCTGAACCCATTCATTATTAAGTACGCCTCCAATGCAGACGACACCATGAATAGAGAGTCAACATAGGCATAATCTCTAGGCACCACATGAGTGTTTTAAAACAGGATACACATTATTGACACATTGGCAAAGGGATTGGGTGAAATGGGAGACAGATCCTTTACAATGCTGTGTTTTCTTTTGGCTGGTGTTTTCATAGTAACCAAGTAACAACTGTTAAAAATTCAGCTTCATAATGAAACACCTTGGCTGCCAATTAACACAAGCCTCAAAAACTAATTTGCCTCTTGATAAAGTTGCTTTTTTTTGATATTTTCCAAGCTACCCCAACTTCTGGCCAAATCAACATCATTAGACTTTTAAGTAAGATGGCCTTACAACTTCTGTAGTTTGCGTCATTAAACATAGACACACATTTCACAAACCACCTAAATAACTTTTTGTGAATTTAAAGACTGAATACATTTATTTTGTGTGCTTAGCTCTGTCATTCTGGGTTTGAAGTATGAGCTGATAGTCACACAGAAGCATTTCCAGACCACAATTGCATTAGCTGCTTACCAGGAAGTCACCTATGGTAGTAATGCCAACAGGCACCAGGAGATAAAACAAATGAAAAGTTTTAGGTATCTTCTGAATCCAAACAGAGAATATGGACCTACTGAGTGATAGGAACATTTATTCTAAGATTAGATGATCCCAAAATTTATCAGCAATGGTCTGAAAAATCCTGCAAGCAACTGAAATTATCCCTTGGCTTGAAAGTGGGCAGTCATTTTTATCTGTTTATGATTTTTTTTAATTAATTTATTTATTTTTTTAATGCCGAATGCCTTTTATTGAAGGAGGGAGGAGGTCTTAAATACAGGCTTACAGCACAATGGGAGAACCCCAGAGGGCAGAAGTTCGCTACTGATGTTTTACAATCTTGCATCTAAGCTGTTAACGCCCAATATGCATGATACACAGACAAGGAACTTCCCTTAAGCATTCAGGAGGGTGGAACCCGGCAAGGAATTAGCATAGGGAGGATATCAAGGTCAAAGTCAGCAAGCAAGGCAACAGTTACCCAAAACGGGGGCCAGGACTCTACTGGTCCCCCCTTTTACTAAAAAATGAGCTTCTGACTTAGGTTGCGTGGAATGTCAGCAAGTCACCTTACCCGTCATGGAGACACAAAACTGAAGAATGGATTAAGAAAATTTGGTACATATACACAATGGAGTACTGCTCAGCAGAGAAAAACAATGACAGTATGAAATTTGCAGGCAAATGGATGGAACTAGAAAAAATCATCCTGAGTGAAGTAACCCAAACCCAGAAGGACAAACATGTCATGGACTCACTCATAAGTGGATTCTAGATATAAAGCACAGAACAATCAGACTGCAACCCACAGAACCATGGAGGCTATATATATATATATATATATATATATATATATAGCATGGGGGACCCTAGGATGACTATGGCTTATAGTAAGTTTTGGTTTTACTCAATTACTGAGCAAGCCTCAATGTTTATGATCTTAATCATGAAACAATCTGAATTTGATTATTTTCATCTTATCTCAATGGATGGCTGTTACATATACTACAGTATTTCTGTTCTCCCCTTTGTTGTTGTTAGTTATTTAAGAATTGCTAAGTCGTAAAAATAGAAAAATAAATGGAATGGTCATCTCTAACAATGCACTCCAACAATCTTCTAAATATGTTTCAAAATTGAGTGAGAAGCAAAGAGAGTGATAGATGAGTATAGAGAAAAAATCAGTAATCAAAATCTCCCAACAATAAAAGACCTAGGAACAGATGGCTTCACGAGTGAATTCAACCAGACATTTAAAGAATTAATATCAATTCTTCTCAAGCTGTTCCAAAAAGTTCAAGAGGAAGGAATGCTTCCAAATACATTTTATGAGTGAGCATTACTATTCTGATACAAAAGCCAGACACAAGCACCCCAGACAATAAAACTACCAGTCATATCCCTGATGAATGTGGATGCATAATTCTTCAACAAAAGGCCAGCAAGCCAAACTCAATAGCACATTAAAAGAACCATATATTATGACCAAATGTAATTTATTTCTGAGATGAAAAGATAGTTCAACACATAAAATAAATTGATGTGATGTACTCCCTTAGCAGAATAGAGGATAATGTCACCTGATTATCTCAATAGATGAAGGAAAAAGCATTTAACACAATTCAGCACTTTTCATGATTAAAAGCCACCGACAAACCAAAAATAGAAATTACCTCAACATAATAAAGACCATATATGAAAAGCCCTCCACTAACATTACACATAATACTATAAATTTGGAATATTGTTTTTTAAGATCAAGCCTGAAGTAGGATGCCCACCATAGACTATTCTACTCAACATAATTATTTAAGACCATAGCCAGAGCAATTACACAAGAACAGCAAAATAAATACTATCTAAATTGGAAAAAAAATCAACAATAATAACATACAATCTGTGAGAAACAATCTCAAGACTCTGTACAGAACTGCTTTATCTAAAAACTAGGCCTTTTGATTAACACCAATTATTGTTCAATGATCTTTGTTTTGCAACCAAAGAACTGTAAGATGAAATATTTTCATAAAAAAAAATCTGGATATATTTCAGCAATCTTATCTTCTCAAACATGGTGTAGTCTTTAGAGAAACATTCAATAAACTTTAAGCAACATAAATAACTTTCAAATTTTCTAAAGAAGAACAAAGTAAATATATTCTTAATGAGTTACCAAAAAAAACTTTAAGAATTACTTAGTTTATGTGCCTGTCAACAGTTAGGTATGGATGGAGAAAGGGCTCACCTGGCCCTAGCCTCACTGATGAAGGTTTGGGAAGAGGATTATTCAAGGAGAGGTAAGTCATTGCTTTCATTTGTGTACCCAAAGGCTCTAATAGACTGTTCCAATCCAATGGCCACACAGATGGCCCTGGTTAAACTTCTGTACAGCTTCATAGAACAAACCCAAAAGTCATGAATTTTCAAAAGGGAACGTTAGGGATGAGATAAGGTAGTTAGAGATGAGAAGAAAATAGTAAGGGTTAGAGAAGAAGGTAAGTAAGATATATCAAGATGTGTGTGTATGTGTGTGCGTGTGTGTGTGTGTGTGTGTGTGTGTGTGTGTGTGTGTGTGTGTGAAAGTGTCAAAATTAAAAAAAAATAAGTAAACCAATGATTGTAAGGAAGTATTAGCACAAAGACTGATAGAGTCTCCTTGCAGCTTACATCAGAGTAGGAAGCTTGGAACCATAATGGCTAACACTGGACAAAGGAAGTAACTTCTTGAACCTTATATGCAAATTAGAGATAATTATAGCTCGATCTTACATTTACTTTCATTTGATACCATCCCGTAATGAGGGGGAAATGAGTCTCCACTGAGTAAGTGCAATCAAGACCGACCCTTCATTTGCTGTAACAGCCACATCACAATGCCATCTGGAAGGAATAAGTCTTGTGCAATGCAGCAATCATTTAACCTCTTACATGACTTAACTCCTAGGTGGCATATGACTTGGTGCCTTCAGGAACAAGAGAGTAGTGGCCCATGCGAACTTGGAGGAATAAGAGCACAGAGGCACGAGCATGCTGACTCCTTTCCTGCTGGTGGAACAGCACAATGAGATCCAATGGTTTTCTACTTAATACAGGCTAAATTCTCTAAAAGTTGATGAACTACTTGTTGCCACCTATCTAGAGTCAATTAAATAGACACAATTCTGTCCTGATAGAAGAACAGAGATATTTGATTTTCCTAAAATATTTATAATTTTGTCATAAATGATAACGTCTAATCACAGGATGATTTTTGATTTCTACTTTTAGGTTTCCATAGGATTAAGCTTATATGTACTTTAAACACAAACTGAATGATAAATATACACTCACTTTCTTTAAATGGAAGGCAGACTCTTGGATTTCAAAGAGCAAAATTAGTACTCAATGTTTTTTTCTTTTTTTCTGATGTAAAAATGTATATTCTAAATTAGAAGAAAATAAGGTTTGTCCTGACTTTATCTTATAGAACCTTCCATTTTCACCATTTTGTA